ATCACATACAGGGTGCCACTCATTACAGGTCCCACAGGGCTCAGGGAGGGATGAAGGGCTCCCAAGGCTTTCCAGGCTCCCCTGCAGGAGGCTCAGGCTTCAGAATGTGCTGTCACTGCCCAAGTGCCCTGGAGCTGCAGGAGCCTGAGCCAGCTCTGCATGTTCTGCACCCCTGTGTGCATCACCCGAGTGAGCTGGAGGCTGCAGCTCCCCCCGGGAAACCTGCTCCACAGCCTCTGTGACCCTGTGTTCCCTGCTGGAGGATCAAGCAGCTCCTTCCTGGGCAGCCTGCACAGAGGCCAGGACAGTGAAGCATTTCCCCTTGCTCGAAGACGTGAACTCGTTGCAAAGGCAGCGCAGTGCTGAGCGCCCGCAGAAACTGGAGATGTGCTTTAATGGCTTTGGTATCGATCCCAAGATGGGGATTTTGCCTTTGACATTGGGAAAAGCAAACAGGCAGCTTGTGTCCGAGGGGGAGGCTCCTGAGCACCCTGAGCTGCTGCTCGTGGGCTCACAGTGCAGGTACCACGGCACACCTGGGCTCAGGGACACAGAGCCACGCAGGGTGGGGACAATCCCCACCCCCCTTTGGGGTCTGCACCCCTGAAATGGCATGTCCCGAGTTCCACTCCTCAGTCACAGTCTCAGACTCTTTGGAAAGCACCTGGCAACCATTCCAGCAGCAACAGTGACTGAGCAGTGGAGCTGAGGCCTCGTTGTCCAAAGAGCAGAAGAACAAATCCTGAATTTACAAAGCTCAATAGCAAAACAGCCCCTGAGCTTCATGATACCCAAACACCAATGGAGAGGATTTAACAACTTGTATGTCTCTCCAATAACCTGGAACTTCAAGATAATTTTCTCTTTTCCATTCCCCCAGCTTCCCCAAAAGAGAACAAGTGAGCCAAATGGACCAGCCTATCAGGAAATCTTGATGCACTTAAATAAGAAAGCAATTAAACAAATTTAATAAGGTAAGGGGGATGCAGGAAGGAAACAATTAAAGGGAGCTCAGGATTACCTTAAAGTCTTCCACTATTGTGGCTGAGAAAGTTCCTATTTAGTGTGGGTGGTGATCGGCACAGCACCCATCACCTCCCAGAGCTCAGAGGCAGCACAGCCGGGCACAGAACCATCCCCAAACCAACTGAGCCCCCCTGGTCCCCCCTGGCTGCTTACAGGCACTGTTTGCCCATGGTTTGGCAATGAGAAAAGCCGGGGCAGTGCCCCAGTAATGCCCTCCCTGGGCAGCACAGCTGAGCACACAGAGCTCAGAGGGTCCCAGCCCTCGCTGGCGCCCATAGCCACGCACCTCACGTATTGATGACAAGAAATGCCTTCACTTCCACGGTGCTTTAACAAGAGCACATCAAAGCCCTGGCAGGCTCAGAAGGCCCTGTGACACCCTTAACAAGTACATTTTTAGTCTCAGTTTTATGGATGAGGAAATTGAGGCTGGGAAGTGGAATGATTTGCCGGCACAACAGAGGAAAGGAAGAAAAGCTGGGAGGAAAAACACAGGAGCTGTCTCTCAACCCCTGCCGAGAGGAGCCCCGGGGAGCTGCTTCCCTGCCAGGGCTGAGCTCAGACCACCCAGCCCCTGCTGGCTCCAGAACCAGCCCCAGGAGCTCAGAGCATCCAGAGCGCTCCTGAACTCCGGATCCTCACGGAGCCCTCGTGCCGAGAGCCCGAGCCACGGAGCAGAGGCTCTGTGCAGCGATTACATGGAAAAGGGCTTCAGCAAACAACCGCTGCACAAGGGTTATTTGTTCCTGCATCAGCCAAACACCGGGCTGGGGACCTGCAGGCAGCAGCTGCTGTTGTGCGTGATTTGAACAGGCCCCCAAAGAGCAGGGCAGAGGAGGAGCTGCTCCTGCCCAGCGCCTGCTGCGTGTCCTGCCCAGCCAGGAGCACCCCTGGGTGCAGCAGGGCAGATTGCACCAAGGGCTGGGCAGGACAGAGGTGAGCAGGGCAGGGATGGCCAGGAACACCCCTGTGCCCACATGCACAGCATCCCGGCCCCCGCTGGAGCAGCCTCATGACGAGCCTTGTCATCGTTCCTCAAGACTAATTTTTTTAAATTGCAAAATCTTACAGAGCTATTAACCTCAAAAGAGTTTAACATATGGCAGCGCGAGTCTCCCTCTTACCCTAATTATAAGGCTTGCAGTAATGGGGCTGTCTTTTAAGTTACAGCTGCTATGCTTTTGGCTTTTCACTAACATTACATCCTATTAAGGAGCTACATTTAATGCATGCAAATTGCCAGAACACCGAGTGCCTCAGACCAGCGAGGGGATGCATTTAAGCAACAGCAGCAATATCCCAGGGTCAGGCTCACCCTGCTGAGAGCTCCCTATGATCCATCAATCAAACTCCACTCATTAATTAACTAATTCATTAAGTATCTTCCTAGATGAAGGTTCTCCAAGGCGGAACATTGTGTTGACAGCGACGTCCTGTCAGCACTTAGCAGTACAAACCCAGACACCCCAGACTCAGGGGGCTTCAGCAGCGCTCCATGACCTCAGCTCCAGGGAAAGAACTGCCCCTCCTGGCCCAGCACACCCCAAAAGTGCTGTAAAAGGAGAGTAAACCCCGAGGCTTTTTCAGGAATAATGGTGAAGTTTGCAAATAAAATGAAATAGTAATTAATTAATTAATATCAAAGGGATTGGAGCAGCAGCAGAGCCGCAGGTTTTGCAGCCCAGGAGTGACAGCGGTGTCACGGTGCTGGTTCCTGCCAGACACAGCCCAGAGCTGGGGTGGCTTTGCTGGGAATGGCACAGCTTGGAGCAGCCTGGAACGGCTCTGCCGGGGGAGTTCTGGGAAAGCCCGGCCTAGCAATGAATGGCATTTTGCTGCTGGATAAACAAACCCAAACTGCAGCGTGGGAGGGGAGCTGGGCACGCCTGGGTGCTCCCAAACCCCCTGTGAGAGATGGTGCCCGGGGATGCCACCCTGTTGTCACCCCAAGATTCCACCCCATTGTCATCTCAAGATTCCACCCTGCTGTCACCCACTGTCACCCCACTGTCACCCTGGGACCCCACCCTGCTGTCACCCCAAGATTCAGCCCTGCTGTCACCCTGGGACCTCATCCTGCTGCCACCCCAAAATTCCACCCTGCTGTCACCCCAAGATTCCACCCCATTGTCACCCCACTGTCACCCCNGCTGTCACCCCAAGATTCCACCCTACTGTCACCCCATTGTCACCCCATTATCACCCCACTGTCACCCCCTGCCCACTCCATTGTCACCCCAAAATTCCACCCCACTGTCACCCTGGGACCCCACCCTGCTTGCCACCCCATTGTCAACCCACTGTCACTCCCTGCCCACCCTGCTGTTACCCCAAGATCCCACCCCATT